CTTTATCATATTTTCCAATGGATATCTAGGGGTGTGCAGATGGGTCGGAGAAGGAAAGGGTGATTTTTCTTAAAGTTTGACTATTATCTTTGTAATGGGTGCGGTTTTATGTGCCACACCCCCTCCGCATCCGCTACCCAAACCAAATCCATTCCACATATAACCGAACATTTCCCCTTTCGTTTTTGAAAGAGAAAAGGGCTAATGCTTAATAATTTGATAATTGTAGTCCTAGGTTTGCATACTAACAATAAATCATCAATTTTGTTTCACACCCCACCAATATTGAACAGTAATATTGTCAAAATATACCTGAAATGGAAAATATTTACTTATCTGAAAGTCATGAGGCCCACGGGTATCAAAGTAATTTCCACTTTCAAGTTACTTGAAAGACATGCAGTTAAATGGACAAAGAATCGGAAAAATAAAGATGTTGGCGAGTGGTTATCGAATTTAATGTGAAATTTAAATATTTTTAAGATAAGGTATTAATTATTTTTAAAAGGTAAAGGTTAATACAACTTTTATATTTATAATCCCAAATTTATGATATAAAATACCTTCCACCAAAAATTTAAATTGGGTAACGCCGCTTCGAATTTTTCACAATTGTCAAAAATCTGCTTCTTAATCAAAAAGTTGTTTATTTCCTTCTTTTTTGTATCATGCGCCATTCTGGGTACATTGACTGGTTGGTTTTCTCGATCTAACATTAGGAGTGTTCGCTATGCAAAAAATTTGTACAAGTTGGTACCAATTGTTACCAAATCATGTTCGTTTAGCCAAAAACTCAGTAAAACTTGCAAGGAGAGAGCACAATTCTTGACATTTCATTTGGAGGGGAAGTTGCAAATTCGTGCTGGGAAAATTTTTGCCAGTAAGAATTTGCAAGTAGGATTGTGGCACACGGTTGCATTTTGTCAACATTAATTTGAATCAGCGAGTTCGTTAAATTTAAAAATGAACAATCTTGTTGCGATTTACTAATGAAAGAAGTATGTAAATATTCGTTTATTCAATTAATATAATTAATTCCAATTATTTGAAAGGTACTCGGCTCAGAAAGCTGTATTCGTAATCGGAACGCACTCGGCACCACTGTCGATATAGGAAATCCGACAGTGACTTTCACAAAGAAATTGAAGCGTATGTTGAAGAAAGTCAAAGTAAGAAGAAATATACGTATAGGTCCTGTTTTGGTTTCCACCTGAAATAATTTTAAAAAATTATTATGCTCGAAATGCAACCATGGACGCCAGCTGGCAGTGAAGCTTGCAAATGTTTGCTAATTCCTGTTCGCGCAAAACTCAGTAAGTTTCTCTCTTTGGGAGAGTAAGATACCTTATTCTCTCAATTTTGTTACTGGCTAATTCTTACTGGCAGTTGCATAGCGAACACTCCTATTATATATCTGCACCCTAACGTTGGCGAATGTACTTTCAAAGTACTGCCACTATAGAAGTATATGGCTGATTCTATTTCAATTCATGCAGGGTGAGTGGGTTCAAAATTCGAAATCAAGTTTAATACGATTTTTCGTGCTTTTTAGAGCAAATAAAATCACACGTATTTTTTTGTTCTGCGAAAAAAAAATCGCTGAGCTACGAGTATCTGAAAATTTTAGGGGCAAGGTGTGGTTTTAGAGAAAAACTGCTGACAATTTTTTTTTTTCAAATCGGCGGCCATTTCTGGAAAAATCAAAAGACTAAATTTTCCGAAAACATATTTTTTTTCTTGAAAATTTGTTTGTGGTTACTAGATACAAAATAGAACTTTTTCCAATAGGTTCTTTCTGAAAATAAGAAGACTCAGTATTTTGGGTAGCGCCATATATTATTTATATATACATACATTCCGCTTTCTGATCTCAGTAGTATTTTTCATACTCTTTCTTTATGAGTTTTAAAATTTTAAAAAGTTTGAAAATTCACAAAACGGCGGGAATGTTTTGAAAAATCTATGAAATCGATTTTCCCAAACCATATATTTTTTTTAATTCTTTTGTGGTTACTCGGTAAAAATACTAACCATAATCATACCCAAAAGCGAACAGGAGTCAAAACACGTATTTACTTCAAATAAAATAAATGATGATATTAAGAAAATAAAGTTTTTTGTTCTTTTAAAAAGTTTCCGCCGTTTTGGTAATTTTAAAAGTTTTTTTAAATTTTCAAACTCATTAAGAAAGAGTATGAAAAATACTACTGATATCAAAAAACAGAATATATATATGAGTAATATATGGCACTATATTACCCAAAATACTGAGTCTTCTTATATTCAGACAAAAAATTCTTACGACTTTCGAGGCGTTTTAGTCGGCTTTAAACCTATTGGAAACAGTTCTCATTTTTATTTCGCCGCCATTTTGTTAATTTTCAAAATTTTTCAAATTTTCAACTACGCAAATATAGAGCATCAAAAATACTTCTACAAGCAAAAAAACCGAATTGAAAAATATTTATTTTTGAAAAAACTAGAAACATTTAAAAACAAGTTGTCAGCCATTTTTCTCTAAAACCAATGTTGGCAAAATTTTAATCTGATTAACGATTAAAAATTAACTATTAAAATGTTAGACGAGATTAACGATTAAAATTAATTAATCGTAATCATCCGTACGATTATTGATTAAATTTTTGTAATCATTAATCGTCGGTTGTGATTACAATTAACTAATTCTAATTCTAGTTCTAATCGTTAATCGAATTTAAAAAAAAATCTGATTAAGTGGTGTAGTTTTTCCGATTTTGAACCAAGCACGGGTTATAGTTATTTTTTTGTGTTTCACGCTTATAAAAAACGCATAATATATAAAAACAACAAATATTATTATTATTAGTAATACATAAACTGGGAATTTTTATAACCCATCGCACATGTTCGGAGGGATATTAAAACCTAGTTTGCTTAGCGTCTGTTAAAATAGATCTTAATGAAAATGCACACCAAAGTGCTTAGATTTATGAGGAAAACCGACTTTGCCATACCCAATAACTGGGCTTGTGTGCACAGTAAAATTCCAGCATAAATGAATTAATCACCAAACCCACTTAATCAAATTAAGGGTTAATGATTAAAAATTAATTTTTTATAATCGCGGTTACGATTAGCTGTTTAACATTACACTGCAACTTTTTTTTTTGTTAGGGGGTTTGGGGCTGGTATTCAAGTTTCCAATTCAAGTTTGGTATTCCAAACAAATCTTTGAAAAAAGTTAAAAAACAGCATCAAATATCTCATTATGATTCCGCTGAAATTTTTTTAAATATTTTTATGTAGATTTTTTAAGCTTAATCTGTTTTGTCATCTGAGAGATTTTTCCCAAAAAATCCTTTAAGAAACTATTTTTTTCATTAAAAAAACTGCATTTTTAGAGGTATTATCAAACCGGTCCAGCTCACGTAAATCTTAATATTTTTTCCTAAAATTTTGGTGGAAGTCTTAAAATATAATAAATTTTGTAATCCCGCCGAAAAAACCGAAATTTTGTTTGGTGTTGCAGTCTAATGTATATGGTTTCCTTGGAAAATGAGCTATACTTTTATAATAAATACTAAACATTAAACGAATTAAAGAAAGATGGTCAAAACTTGTCAAAAGATCGCGTTTCCTTTATTTTGGCCATAAGTTTAGGGCCTTTGTGAATTAAGGTAATATGTACATACACTTAAATTTACATATATATATATATATATATATGTACATACATATATACGTATTTTTGATTATTATGCAAATGTCGCTCATTTACTTCAATAGTGTCATAATCCTATAATTTCATAGTGTCATAATACTAATTCTACAAGTTTTGTCTATTGTTCTTTTGTATATTTAATACTTACTATTTTTTTATAAAAGTATAGCTTATTATCTAACAAACAGCAAATAAATTCATATTTCATACTTTGTGCAAAAATTATAAAAATTAAGCAAAGTTGGGTCTAAATTTTAAACGTTTTAATCAGATTTAGCAGAATGTTTTTGAGTATCCAGTTTTATTGGTCGTTGAATTTTCGTGTATAAGTCTTCACATCGCTTTGTGCAATAGAAAATTTTAGTTAGTTGCAGTTTCTTGCATTTCAGCGACGATGTGAGATAGGGCCTTTGTATATTAAGGTAACGATATGTAAATTAAAAACTTGCAAGCTCTTTTTCTAAAGTTTTTGGTTGTTTGGATTATGACAGTTTTGAAGTAAATAAGCGATATTTAGGTGGAAGAAATAATAGAGACTTTTTATTTTGACCAGTTTTGGCTATATTTTTTTTTGTATTCGATGTTTAATATTTTCTTATAATAGTCCAGTGCATTATATAACGAGCACCATATAAATCCACACTTGCAACCTAGTACAAAAATTGTAAGTGTTCGGAGCAGCAGCGGATAAGCCAGCAACATAAAATATGTTTATCAAAATCAATATGAATAACGTTATCTGATCACACTGAAATTTTCATACTCAATTGAGCTGCATATTTACTTGTATGTATTTAAACTGTGCTAATTTTGTTTCCCCTTTATACTATGTATAAAGCATACGTATATACATACATACATATATGTATGTGCATACGTACCGCCCGCGCTCAGTTGGATACATTCGTATGCAAGCAAGCGAAAAATAGTACATATGTATGTAAGCAATATTGTGATCGCGGGTGCATACGTGCATAAATATATATATGTAAATTCTCATGCATTTAAGAAAACTGGTTTTCTATTGTTGGTGATGAATTTGCAGTTATCCAATGTAATTAGGACATACTTAAATAGTTCAAGGTGAACTTTCTGTTAGTTAGTCGCGGACCAAATCTTGTTAAATACAGTTGCTTAACTTATGCATACATCGTTTGTTTTATTTTAATAGCTGCTAAAAAGGCTTAGTAGCTCAACATTTGGTGACCCCGACGTGATCGTATCACGCGATTTTTCGTTTGTTTCCGGCCGCTTACTGAGATAATTCTGCCACACTAGTGTAAACGTCAGCAACTTCGTCATGCCAGGGGAAGGTGCAGATCGAGTAGCCTTTCTAAAGCTGAAAACAAAGGCCATATTCAGCAGACTGGAGAGCTTGATTAACGAGTTGGACGCAGACAGGCTACACAGTATGGATGAGTACAGTCTTTCAGCAATGCTAGAATCCTTAGGCGAATTGAAATCCAGTTTTTCTGCCGCACACACAAGCCTAGAGGAATTGGACTTCGACTCCATTGCCAGCGACCTGCCAAGTAACTTCGATGCTGCTCTAATCAACCTTAGAGCTACACTGCAACGCGAGATTGGTAAACGTAGTGCCTCGCAACATTGCTCCACGCTCAGAATGAACTCCAGTGAGACCCAATCAATCATTGTGAACGCTAATAGCTCACGCTTGCCATTGCTGACACTGCCTAAATTCAGTGGCGCCTACACCGAGTGGACAAATTTCTATTCAATGTTCACGTCAATAATCGACAAGGACAGCGACCTCACCAACATCGACAAATTGCAGCATCTTCGTTCCTGTCTGAGCGGCGCTGCCCTTGACACCGTGCGCTCGCTGGAAATAAACGACGCTAATTATAACACTGCATTAGATCTTTTACAAAAGCGCTTCGATAACAAACGTCTTATATTTCAGGCACACGTCAGGGAGATATTTGGGCTAGAGAGGGCAGATTCAAACGTAACCAAGCTACGAGAGCTGACAGATAAGGTCACAGCACACATACGCGCATTGCAGTCGCTCGCATCCAATGGGAAGATCGCAGATGGCATCATCGTACAATTGGTGATCCAGAAACTCGACAAAAAGACGCAAGCTAAATGGGAGGAGAGTTCATCGATCAGCGAACTGCCATCCTGGGATCAATTAGCTATGTTCTTGGAGAAGCGCTGCAGAACACTCGAGAACGTTGAGCATTCTATGCAGACACCGACTGGTCAGGCGGTAAAAGCTAACAAGAACGTGAGTACTGGTCAGAGGAAATCCTTTGTTGCTTCCAACGGCTCAAAAGGTGTTTGTGTGTTTTGTGGATCTGCCGAGCATGCAATTTATAGCTGTCAACGCTTCGCAAATTTGTCTCCGAACTTACGCCTGAGGGAAGTTAAGAAGCTTTCCCTTTGTCTTAACTGCCTAAAGACTGGGCATCAAATTCGTGACTGCAAATCCGGATCGTGCCGCGCCTGTCAGTCGAAACACCACACGCTCTTGCATTTCGAACGCTCAACTGCATCGTTAATCAATAGTCAAGCCGAAGCTTCGTCGGCAGCTACAGTTCAATCCAACGCTATGACTGCATCGTTATCTGTGTCGCCTAGTGCCCCAGTATCTCCTTCTGATGCTGTGTTCCTAGCTACTGCCGTCGTTCTGGTAAAAAATCGTGCTGGAAGCCTCGTGCCTTGCAGGGCGCTTTTAGATTCTGGCTCCCAGTTACACTTTGTCACAACTCGCCTTGCAAACCAATTGCAGCTTGTAAAAGCAAAATCTTCTGCTACAGTATCTGGCATTGGAGATGCCAATTTCTCAACGGAGGGTTACTCAGTCGACCTCGTACTGAAGTCGCGGACTTCAGATTTCTCAACAAACATAACAGCTGTTGTTGTGCAAACCATAACCGACAACCAGCCTGGCTGCTCCGTGAGCACCAACGAGTGGAATGTTCCGTCGAATATACAACTAGCCGATCCTGGGTTAAACTTACCGCAGCGAATTGATCTACTCATTGGAGCAGCATTGTTCTTCGATCTGCTATGTGTGGGGCAGATACGCTTGGCATACGGTTTACCACTCCTTCAGAAAACACGCCTCGGTTGGGTGCTATCTGGAGGGGGGCAACAAGCTCCAAAACTATCATCTTTTGTGGTGCGAGGGAAGTCCTCCAGTGATATTATTTCCACTCGGTTGGAAGATTTAGTGCGTCAGTTCTGGGAAATAGAGCACAACTTCGAGCCGATCTCTAAGGTCTCCCAAGAAGATATCGACTGCGAAGCCCACTTCCGGGAAAATTATTTGCGATTGTCATCAGGCGAATACTCAGTTCGTCTTCCCATGAAGCGTGGTGTGGAGGCCCTTGGAGACTCCTATTTGCAAGCTCGTCAACGCTTCGAAAGTCTTGAACGAAAATTCGCTCGTAACCCTGAGCTTAAAACAGAATATAGTAAGTTCATAAAGGAATATCTGGACCTTAATCACATGTCGCTAGTTACCAAAGAGGTTTTTCAACAATGCAGGTATTTTCTGCCGCATCATTGCGTCATCAAGGATGACAGTAGCACAACAAAGCTGAGAGTGGTTTTTGATGGCTCTGCATCCACTACTTCGGGCTTTTCGCTGAACGACCTACTCATGGCAGGCCCAACTATTCAGCCGAAACTTTTTAATATCCTTATTAGATTTCGTACTTTTCCCATAGCACTTACTGGGGACATCTGTAAGATGTATAGGTGTGTTCGCGTCACCCCACCAGATAGCATGCTCCAATGCATATTGTGGCGTGAATCTCCTCAGGAAAACTTTGCCATCTATAAGTTAGACACGCTGACTTATGGAACTAAGCCTGCGTCATTTCTGGCCATACGTGCCATGCACCAACTCGCAGCTGACGAATCCTCGACTTACCCCATTGGTGCAGAAATAGTGCGTCGAGACTTCTACGTAGATGACTTGATATCTGGAGGCGATTCGATGGAAGAAGTACTGAATATCAAGCTACAAACAACTAGCCTCCTTGCTCGAGGAAACTTTAAGTTACGCAAGTGGTGCTCTAATAGTCCAGATATCCTTCGTGATATACCTGACGTAGACAAGGAACGTTTCCTTAAGTTTGACGATGGCAGTGACATCACCAAAGCTCTGGGACTAGTTTGGGATCCGGTCAAGGACAAGCTGCTATTTTTGTTTGTGCCACAACGAGAACTCGGTAAAAACTCAAAACGCTCTGCGTTGTCTACTCTAGCTCGCTGTTACGATCCCCTTGGACTAATGGGCCCTACGCTGACCAAGGCGAAGATTCTTCTGCAACGCATGTGGAGAGACAAGCTTGAGTGGGATGAGAGTCTACCGCAATCGTTAAACACCGCCTGGTCTGCCTTTTGCAGAGGGTTTGCAGACATACAGCACCTATCATTTCCTCGTTACGTCTTGCAACCTGGGGCCATTACAGAAATTCATGCATTTTGCGATGCAAGCCTTGAAGCTTATGGGGCTTGCGTTTATACGCGTTCAGCCAAGGATAGTAAGGTACAAGTGCACCTGTTGTGTTCGAAGGCCCGTGTCGCTCCACTGAAGACTATCACCGTGCCCAAGCTGGAACTCTGTGCAGCAACACTGCTGGCACAACTCATGGGTGAGTTTACAAAAATGAAGCTTTTTAACTGTTCATTTCATTGTTGGTCAGATTCCTCCACTGTCCTCTCGTGGCTGCGAGAAGAACCATCGAAATTTAACGTATTTGTCGCTAACCGAATTTCCACCATACATCAATTAACGGAGGGCATGCGGTGGCACTATGTTCCGACAGCAATGAATCCGGCGGACATTTTATCCAAAGGAGCTACCCCGCAGGAACTTCTAGGATCTTCACTTTGGATGCACGGCCCGTCATTTTTGCGAGAAGTGGAGGGCAGCTGGCCGCGCATGTGTCTACCACAACCAAAACTTCCAGAACTTCGACAAAAGGTGTTGCTTGCCGCACATAACCGCAATGACATTTCGCTTTCGTTCAAGTACATTAATTCATTTGGAACAATGCAGCGCATTTTTGGGTACGTCAGCAAATTTGTCAATATTACAACATCGCCAAGCTCTTCGCAGCTCACAGCCGCAGATATTCACCATGGAACTCAACTGCTTATTCGCTTAGTACAAAGAGCGCAACTTTGGCCGGAGTACACGGCATTACAGGCCAATAATTGCGTCCCGAGTTCGAGCAGCATTGTTTCGCTATCACCATTTCTTGATGACTTTGGAATTATTAGAGTCGGCGGGCGAATAAAAAACTCTATGCTTAGTTTTGAATCGCGCCACCCATGCATTATTCCGAAGGATCATCCACTGACATTTAGTATAATAACCTTTTTTCATCGCAAACAACATCACGCAGGTCCTCAAGCTTTACTCGCCTTCATTCGAATGCAGTTTTGGCCCATAGGTGGTCGGAAAACAGTCACTCGAGTCCTACAAAAATGCATTATTTGCTGCAAATCGAGACCGCGCCTTGTCGAGCACATAATGGCCGACCTGCCTAAAGAGCGAATTCAGGCCTCGCGCCCATTCATAGTCACCGGTGTGGACTACTGTGGGCCATTTTATTACAAGCCTGAAGTACGCAATAAATCGCCCCACAAATGTTATGTAAGCGTTTTAATTTGCTTCGCCACAAAGGCTGTATAGATGGAGTTGGTAAGAGACCTCTCAACAGGTGCTTTCATTGACGCGCTAAAACGATTCATCGCTACGCGTGGCATACCCAGCTGCATCTGGTCTGACAATGCGACGAATTTTGTAGGCGCCAAGAACGAGCTTAAAGAACTACGGAACTTAGCCCTCAGCGAGAAACACCGCAGCGATGTCCACAACTTTTGCCTCAGTAATGGCTTTG